GTGCCAGAGTTTTCCAGCAAAATATAAAGAAATCACACTATCACGCTTGAATTCCATCACGAAATATTTTTTTTTCTGGAAAATTCTCAACAAAATGCTTTTGTACGCTTGTAAACAATATAATGAGCTGTCACTAATATAATTTTAACAGCTGTCGGACGAGTAGGTTAGAGTGGCGAGACAGCAGTCTAAAGTTGATTGCAGTTTTTTCATCTCGCCCTGTGTTATTTCCTTTGGAATTTAAATTATAACTATAATCATAGTTCGTATGATTTAATTTTCACAAATTCCTCATAAACATATTTTATTTGTTATATGAAGCTCTACTAAATATGTCGGTCCACCCGACTTTAAGACTTTCTTTACTGTTTTTTTAATGTGTTTTATTATTTGGAGATTTCTAATTTTTGAAAGAAACAAGCGTACGATGCCTTTAATCATTTACCTGTCTTTTTTGTTATCAAATTTAATTAACATATCTTAAACAAGTACACGCAAGATATGAACAAAAATTAGATGAATATTTAATACGTTAACAGAACCTGAATTGTTGCGTGACGCCTAATTGTACTTGTAGACTTATATCTACTCTTAAACCTATAATAAAGAAATAATGTCGTCATATAGATATGTTTTAAAATTTGATGCGAATATTATTTAATTATTTAATAATTTTCATATCTTCTTAAAAATATAATAACACATATTATTTAAGGCATTTTAAAAATTCGAAAAACATAACATGATTATTTGTAATCTAATATTCCAAGCTTTTAATTAGCCGAATTAGAGTCACATCTGTGGACCATAAAATATCCATGTTCTTAATTATAGCTTAGCTGCAACTGCCTTTTTGAGAAAAATGCAAAAGCTACTGCGACGTAAACTTACGTATACTTGGTTATAAATATTTCAATATAATTGAATGTTATATTTTTTGTGGATGGAGATGGCTAATCCGACATAGAATTATACGTCCGTCAAGAATATGTACATTTTATGATGCCTAAAATGCTTATATCAAAGAGCTACAAATGGAATGATAAACTTAATATAACCTCCATAATATGCTGGAGGGTGTAATAAAGAGAAAGAGATGACATTGTAACGATTTAAAATATTTTACTACACCGATTTTTCTTTATTCGTACAACATTTCTACCTCACTCATAATGAATTACAATGGATCTTTGTTTAAAATGTCATAATCTGGAATACCAAAACTTTAATCGTCTGTGTCAAATCCGCTCCATTAATTTCAGTGGTATTCACTCTAAAGCTTTTGTTTTGATTTCACTTTGTTATTGCATATTACTCGATATTTAAAACTAAAATCCATTGTTTAAAATCAATCTCTGTAGTAACAATAACCTGTTCTATACAATTTTTTTTAAATCAATAGTTGGCAGAAATGTCGCTTCAATCAATAAAGAAAATAAATTTATTTGTTTATGGCTTTTTGTGTTCACGTAAGTACAACTGTAGGTCCATTAAATATTTAATTAGTAATATTGTACACTTTTTGTAAAAAGATAGACAAATATTTAATATGATGATGTAGCTAGAATAATTATCTGAGTCGATTTTTATACCCTACACCACATAGTGGTAAGGGTATTATGTCTTTGTGCATTTGCTTGTAACATGGAGAAGGAAGCGAGATAGACCCATAGTTACTTTTGAGGATATTCATAGAATCACTTTCTAAGTCAACTTATGCATGTCAGTCCGTCTGATCATGTAATATTGTGAACAAAATGCAGGTCACATTTATTATCCGAATAAAATGAAACTTTCCAAACAATATTTGTTCCCAAGGACGAATTCTATTGAAATTGGTGATAAACGAATCATATTTGGATATAGCACCCATATATATTTTCAGCCGATTGGGGGATAATTGTGCACCAAATGGTCAATATCAGTCCAAATGACCTGAATTTTAGTGCATACGACCGAATTCAGTCTAGAAGCAAGTATATCAAATTTGGAGAAAATCGGTTCGGATATAGCTATAGCTCCCAAATATGTGTTTCATCCGGTTTGGCGTCCCCCACATTCCTAATATACATCGCACAAGAATGATGTTTGATATCAGATACAGTCCAAAAATACCTCTGCCAAATTGTATCGAGAACGGCTAAGATTTGGATAAAGCCCCAATAAAGCGGATAAAGGATATATCCGATTTCAGATTTATTCTGCAAATAATAGCTAATATGAGTCCAAATGGAGTAAAATTTGGGACGTACGTTTACATTTTGTGGAACTCGACTCCGTACTAAAAAGTACGAGAAGTTTTCAATATTATTTTCTCGGGTAAATGGGAAAAGAACAGGGCTGGAATCTCGAATTGAGATATAGAAGTGGTTTTGGATTTGTGTACTATAATATGATATTGAGGCCTAATATGATGTTGAGGTCTCTATTGGAATGTGGAATTGAGGTATGAAGGTGGTTTTGGAAGAGTATACCATAATTTTACGAAAAGTACTAAATTTGAATCACTCTTGGTTTCCAGGATGGTACTTTAAGTTTGAAACGGCTTCTACATCCTTCTATATATGTTTATGTGTCCTCCCGAAATTCGCCATTTTAGGAATTTTATCCACATTTTTATTGTTTAAAAATTCAGTTCATTGATTTTATAATGGATTCTACACCTTGTGGCAGAGTATTGTCTACATAGGTCCATGTTTTCCTGTAGCCCTCATATAACGGCAGATCCCGATATTGGGAATTTTGACGACTTAGTCGACTTATTATACCCTCAGCCATATAGCTAGAGAGGTTATATATCATTTGAAACAACCAAATCCGCTTCAGGACATTTCGATCTAGCGATATCCGTCCGTCCGTGAGTCTGTCTGGCTGGCTGATGCGCACGATGACTCTCGAAGGGGGTATCTGATTTGGTCCAAACTTGGTACATCGTAATATTATTGTCCTACTTAGATCGAGTTCGGAGACGGCCAATATCGGTCCCCTGCTTCGGTAACTCCCCAAAAAAGGGTCAAAATTTAAAAAAAAAATATTTTACTGCACAGAAAGGAAAAGGATCATTCAATTTGGTTCCAACCTTGCAAATCCTAATATTTCCATCAGTGTTAGGTGAGGTGCGAAAATGCACAATATTGGTACCTCCCTATCTATCAAGTACCTCCCCCATAAAGTGTGAAAATGTTGAATAATTATAACTCTTTTAAAATATGATGTAAGAGACCGATTGTGTTCAAATTACACACATCACAACATTTTTATTACCCCAAAGTCTCGTGTGAAGATGGAATATATCGATCCACTATTTCTGGTACCTCCTCCACAAAAGGGTCAAAATTTTATATTTTCATGAAGCTCATAAAACGCGGAATTAACATTCGATTCTATTCAAACTTGGCACATCTCAATATTTCTATCCGCACAAGATCTGTTATGAAGATGGTAGAGATCGAAACGTTCCTTCTAGACTAAAAAGTGTCAACATTTTGATTAACCGAAACGATAAAAAAAAAATCCGCAATAGGTATTTTTATAAAGATGGTAGATATCAGACCATTTCGTCTGGTACTTCCCCACACAGGGCTAAAGATTTAAAAAAACAAAGCGCGCAAAGAAAACGAAATAAGCATCCACGTCTCTTCAAATTTCACACATACTTGGCTAACACAAGATCTGTTGTGTTAGATGAAGACAAAATATATCTGAGAACCCCTTTTGGTACCTCACCCACAAAGGGTCACAATTCTCAATACTTATATCTGTCATAACTTGCGAAATAAGTCAGCGATTCTGTACAACTTGCTATATCTAAATATGTCTGTATCGCCACCTGAAATCTGAGATGAATATGGAATTTATGATTTCGCATAAAAGTGGATATAAATGTTCGATTTTCTTGTAATTTTGCCCATACCAGTATTTTTATACCCTCCACCAAAAAAAGTATGGAGGGTATATTAAGTTCGTCATTCCGTTTGTAACTCATCGAAATAATCATTTTAGACCCAACAAAGTATATATATTCTTGATCAGCGTAAAATTCTAAGACGATTTAGCCCTGTCCGTCCGTCTGTCCATCTGTTGTAATCACGATACAGTCTAAACGAATTAAGATAGAAGCTAAAATTTTGCACAGATCCCTCTTTTATCTGCAGGCAGGTCACGTTCGAAGATGGGCTATGTCGGTCCACGATATCGTATAGCCCCCATATAACGGTACCCCCGATATTCGGTATTTTGATGATTTTAGCCACATTTTTCAATGGAATTGTCTGAAAATCCACACAAGTAGTTCCTTGAGGGTACTTTATACCTCGGCAGAGAATTATCTATATAGGTCCTCAATATCGTATAGCCCCCATATAACGGTACCCCCGATATTCGGTATTTTGATGTTTTGAGCCATATTTTTCAACGGAATGGTCACAAGGGGTCCTTTGTACACAAGGGGTTCTTTAACGTTAACGATAACGTATAGCTCCCATATAACTTTACCCCGCGGTATTCGGTATTTTGATGATTTTAGCCACATTTACCAATCGTATTGTCTGAAAATCCACACACGGAGTTCTTTGTGAGCACTTTACCTCAGAAACGGAATTGTCTATATAGGACCACAATATCGTATATCTCCCATATAACGGTACTCCCCTATATTCCGTATTTTGGTGATTTTAGCCACTTTTTCCCATGGAATTATCTGAAAATCCACACAAGGAGTTCCTTGTGAGTACTTTACACGCAGACATAGATTTGTCTTTATAGGTCCAATATCGTATATCCCCCCATATCGGCACCTTCCTATATTAGATATTTTAAAGAATTTAAAAGAATTTATAATGGATTTTATTTTTTTTTTTTTTTTTTTTTTTTGAAAATTTTCTAATTCGTTCCAAATGGTGGAGGGTATTCAAAGTTCGGCCCGACCGAACTTACTGCTTTTTTACTTGTTTAATCTGTATTAGATACTTCGGTCGACTATATCTTGTAACTCACGCACATTTTTACATTGTCGTATCATTTTATCTCTTATTTAAACAACCTTAACAAATCACTTATTAAAGAATACACATACATTTATAAATTAACTACTTAAACATTTTTCATAAAGAAAATATTTCGATGGACAACAAGGAAATGAGAATGTTATATCTTACATTTAAAATAAAATAACACCACCAATAACAAAACAAAAATAATTTAGAAAAAGAAACGGATGTAATTGAAATTGTTTGAATTGTGATCATTTACAATCCAAGAATCCTTTATAATACATCCATGGCAGTACCAGTTCCAAATGTTTTTTCACACGTTCCTGTTGATACACATTGGCATTGTGTTCAGAGTCATTCACGAGATTGTCCAATGTTGCCGAATCCACGGGATCAGCTAATGCTGTGGGCATAATGTTGAAAGCGGCAAATGTACCTGCAAGGAAACATTATCAATAAATAACGTGATTAAAACAAACAACAGTAGATTTCAGTCGAATAATAATGTTGATGGGAACCGAATATATGTATAATAGAATTAATTTTATTTTTAATTTATGATGCCCTGTGCGTATACCCTCAACCATATGGCTGCAGAGGGTCAATATCTTTTGATACCAACAATACGCACCTCATCGGGCAAAATTCGTTTCAGGACATTTGTTCGGCCGTCTGTCTGTCATGCTGGATGGCTGGTGCGTACGATCACTCTCGAAGGGAGTATTCGATTTTATCCTACCTTTGTACATCGTAATATTTCTGTCAAACTTAGATCGAGTTACGAGGTACGTGCCCCACAAAAGGTCAACATTTTACCCCATAGAAAGAGAAGAATCAATCCATTTTGTCTAAACGTTGAAAATCCCAATATTTTTGTCGCTGCTAGATCAGGTGCGAAAGTGTACAATGGTGATCCACTTCATCAAGTACCTCCCCCACAAGGGGTCAACATTTTGAATAATTATATTTCTTATAATATGTGAATTAAAAGTCCGATTGTCTTTAAATTTCACACATTCCAATATGTCTACCAGCACAATACCTGTTGTGAAGATGTTAGATATCGATCCACTCTTTCTGGTACCTCTCCCACAATGGGTCAAAATTTTGAATAATTATAGCTCTTATAAAATGCGAAATAAACATCCGATTCTCCTCAAATTTCACACATCCTAAAATTTCTACTTCTAACAGGACTTGATGTGAAGATTGCAAATATCGATTTACCCCTTCAGGTACCTGTACCACAAAAAGGTCGATTTGAATAACCATAAAACTCATAAAACGCCAAATGAGCATTCAATTATTTTCTAACGCTGTCAACACAAGGCCTGGTGGAAATATGGAATATGTAAGACCACTTATTCTGGTGCCTCCCACACAAAGGTTCAAAATTTTGAATATTTATAACCATCATAAAATGTGAAATAAGAGTTCGAATGTCCTTAAACCTATATTTTTATGAGCATTAGACGATATCGAATACTTCGGTCCACTATATATGGAACCTTATGCACATTTCAATATTTTCCAAAAATTACCACATATGTCATGTAGAGTGAATATTTATATCTTACTTAGGCCCTTCGTTACCATCCGAGGTCAACATTTAAATAATCATAACACAAATCAATATTTATTTTGATAAACGGACATTGGCGGAGGGTATAAGTCTGTTGGCGAAACTGAATATTTTCTAAATTATTTCCTGGCACTTAAAACTATTCTAGGCTATTTTAGCTATGCGAAGTATGTCGTTATAGAACAAGTTTTGTTCATATTTCTGCAAAATTTGCGTGTATAACAGTTTCAGTATAACAGTTATGAAACTGTTATATACATGTTTATGTTAAATTTTAAAGTTAATATATAATTCTAAACAGTCTTTGAAAGAAAAACAAATAATTTAACCATGAACAATAAAGAAATAATCTATATTAAACATTTTAACCAAAACCATTAAAGAAAAAAGACGGGCGGGGCCGACTATATAGGAGATATATCATAATCGATATATCTAAATCGAGATATATCTAAATCGATCTCGATTAAATTTATCAGAGGCATTTCTGAGCTGTACTTAATATATATCTCCCAATATCGTTGTTAAGGAGTGCATATTACGACTGTGGAGGAGAAATTTAACAAATCGGAAGAAGAATTTAATAGACTTGTTTTTAGGCTTAATTTAGTTTTATGTGCCACATTCCATCCTATTTAGGCTAATATTACACATTTGGTGCACTATAAAACGCAAATCAGGCGAAAATATATATGGGAGCTAGATCTAAGTGGTGTCCGATTATCTCCAATTTCAATAGGGTTCGTCCTTGTATCAAACGAATGTTTTGTGCAAAGTTTCATCTTGATCGGGCAATTAATGCGACCTGCATTTTGTTCTCAAGGATACATGGGCAGACGGACGGACGGGCTGACTGACATGCATAAATTGATTCAGAAAGCAATTCTATGAAGATCTTCATAAGTAACTGTGGATCTTACGCGCTTCCTTCTCTATGTTACAAACAAATGCACAAAGACACAATACACTGATCACAATATTGTGTAGGGTATAAAATTGTATGTGTACTTCAACGTATCTGAAATATTAATTAAGTTTTTGTTATACTTATATTTTATCGTTGTATAACAGTTTTATTTATTTTTTTCAGCAAAATTTTAGAGAATAACAGTTTTATTATAATAGGTTACAAACTGTTATACATCTTGAAAAAATCATATTTTTTTAATCCACCTTCACCATTGGGAAGGAATTTGCATATTTTCAAAAAAAAAATCCGTTGAAAAATACTACTACTATCATAAAAATACCGGATTTACCTTCATAATAAGGCCTATATGAAAATGTAAACCATTAAGGCCATTACGATACTCAAATACGAAATTTAAACAATTCCGATAGATAACTTTGCTAAAATTATCAAAATACTGAATATAGGGGGGTGCTACTATATGGGATATGTACGAAGACGTGGATCTGCATAGGCATATTTCTGTCATGGGATGTAGAACCCATTAGAAACATCAAATTCAAAATTTGAAACATTTCCAGTGACACACATCATTAAGATAAAGATACCGAAATTGTGTCTAAAACACCCAAAATACCTTAAATCTTTCGGTACAGTTATATGGAGGCTATACCGAATCTGGGCCTATATAGCCCTTGTTCAATATCAAAAGTCCTGCGGACCTGAATAAAATTTTATCAAACTACTTCATTTCGGTCTGAAGCTTGACTGACTACCACAGACGGGCAAACAGGCAGACATCGGTAAGTCGACATAGACATTTATGCTGATCAAGAATTTCATACCATGGTAGAATTAAGAAGGTAAAGCCACTCAGAATTAAGAAGTTAAAGTCCGACACATTCCATCTTCACAGCAGACCATGCGTAAGTATAACTATTATTACGTGTGAAATTTGATGCTCAATTCGGATTTTATGGGCTTTATGGCTATTTAAAATTTTGACCCGTTGTGGGGAGGTACCAGAAGGAGTAAGCCAATATACGCCATCTATACACCAGATATTGTGCTGGTAAAAATATTGTAATGCGTGTAATTTAAGGCAAACGGGCTATTCTTTCACATTATATAAGAATTATAATTATTCAAAAGTACGACCTTTTGTGGGGGAGGAACTTGATGGACTGGGCCGATATTGTCCATTTTCACCCCTGACCTATAAGTGATGAAAATATTAGGATTTGCAAAGTTTGAGTAGAATCAGATGATCCATTCTCTTTTTAAGATCAAGATATTTTAATTGAAAATCTCGACCTTTTGTGGGGGAGGTACCAGAAAAGGTGGGCCGATATTGCCCATCTCCGAACTCGAGCTAAGTTTGACACTAATATTACCATGTACCAAGTTTAGGCCAAATCGGATACTCCCTTTAAGAGTTGTCGTGCGCACCTGCCAGCCAGACAGACGGAAGGATACCCTCAGAGCGACTTCAAATGACCTGAAACGCATTTGGTCCAAAGAGACCTAAGCTCTAAAACCGTTATTTCGATGAGGCACGTTTTGACCATATTAAATGCTATGCAGGGTGAGATGAAAAAACTGCAACCAACTTCAGACTGCTGTCATTTCTAAGCCACTCGTCCGACAGCTGTTAAAATTATTCTAGTGACAGATCATTATATTGTTTACAAGCGTACAAAAGCATTTCCAGAAAAAAATTATTCATGATGAAATTCAAGAAAGTGGAGGGAAGAAAACATCAGCAGAAATGGTTCGAAAAGTTAAGAAGCGACTTGATCGAAAACCGCGTCGGAGTGGCCGAAAAATGGCTCGTGAGCTGAACATATCGCAATATTCCATTCGGCAAATATTGAAAAATTAGCTCGGGGTAAAGCCATTGAAATTCCAAAAAGTGCAAGAACTTACACTGCAACAGTAAGAAAATAGACTCAAAAGAGCTAAAGAGTTGCTTCGCTTGGCCGAAAGTGGGCACGCAAACATCGCATTCAGCACGCGCCACCCAAGAATGGTTAACAAATGAGGTTCCTCGCTTCATTTCCAACACACAATGGCCACCAAAATCTCCGGATACCAATCCGTTGTACGTTAGGAAGCACCTCAAGCAAGCGCTTCGCCGGGAATGGGCCAAAAGTACCGCAGAGCAACATTCAGGCAGGGTGAGACGGTTTATTTGGCCGTTTGAAGGCCATAATTCGTGCCAAAGGTGACCAATTCGAATAAAAGAATGTAAAAATTATGGCGTTTGACTTTGTTGTAGTTTTTTATCTCACCCTGTATGGCTGAGGTGTAGTTCCTCCACAAACTTACCATATGCCCGTGATTCCATAATCATCCGATGTACATCCGCCAAGGATGGCATCTCCTTTGAGTATTTCAGCAATTTCAAATTCTCAATTAAATGATCATGATAATACTTTACAAGTTCATCGAAATGGGCAACTTTAAGCTGCAACTGGACAGAGGTGAACAAAAAATAGATAAGATCATCGCCGGGTGAAGAATATCTAGCCATTTGATAATCCACCAGATAGACATCTTCAATGTTATTCGCTTCATCATACTGGAACATCATGTTGTTGCACCAAAAATCACCATGATTGAGCACGTTAAACTCATTGGGATTTGGATATTCGACATTACGCAGCAGAAAGTCACTGAACTCCACACTCATTTTCTTCAAACTCTCATAGTAAATATCTTTATCGACAAAATCTTGCGACACCTTTAAGACATTCTGTATGCCAGCTGTAGACATGGAACGTATCAAAGGTTCACCATCTGGATTTAAGGAACCTTTCAGATAAATCTCATTATAGGGTCCCTTATGTTCTACTCTAACAGCAGAGGCTGCATGCCATTTAGCCAATTTTTTCAAAGCAAATTTACAGTGCTCCATGTCAAGGGAATTTTGCCGATTGGCATTTTTAAATCCCTTCAAACTGATATCCTCCAACAGCAAATATTCCTGCTCAACTGGGAGACTATATGCCTGGGGACCAAAACGCACCTCTTCCCCTGCCTCACGATACATTTCCTCAAACTCGGGTATGAATACACGATAAACTTCCGTTTCCTTGTTGAAAACATTCCATTTGTACATCAAGGTGTTGTACAATTCCGTGTCGTGAGCAACCTTCAGAAAATAGTATTGAGTTTCTAGAGTATCGTCGGTGAGCAACACTTCAATTTCCACTTTCAGAGCTATGGCAACATAATTCTCTCCTGGCCCCAAGGCATTGCGAACACGAAATGTTTTAATTTCTTTAAAATTTGGCACCGTTTCACGCAGTAAATTCTCAAAATGTTCACTCTGTATCCACTTGGGTATCTCAGCCATATTTGTTTTATTTAATTTTTTTCGGTTGTTTTCTTTTAGCCGTCTCAAAGTAAACTAAAATCTGGTTCTGTCCGTTGACAGAGTTTTATTAACAAAATGATGTTGCGTCTTAAATGTTTGATAAGAGTAAAACAAAACAAAACGAAACACACAAATCAATTATAAATTAAACAAAAAGTTTAAAATTCATGGATATTATGGCTTAGGTCGAATTTAAGATACCGTCTTGTGTGTGATGCCGATTTGAAAAATTAGTGTAGAATTTTGTAAAAAAGATATTATAAAAATAAAAACCAGCTGCTATGGATCAGAACTTTGGATGTCTATATCACAAATACTCATAGAAATTAACTTGTAGGGGTAACGGTACCTATTAAGTTCGGCCAGGCCGAGCTTTGAATACCCTCCGCCATATGAAAAGAATTTGCAAATTAAAAAAAAACAGCAATGAAAAGTTAAAATCCGGACGGGGCCGACTATATGGTAGCCTACACCACTATGTATAGGGTTGCCCATATTTGACGGACCTTTGGGCCCATTCCAATCGACGAGGCTTGTCCGCAGGCAACATTCTTTGCGTCAATTGAATTTTGTACGGGAACAAATGCAAATCAATGCGAATAATCAGTTATAAAGTGGACCGAGCCATGCCCAACTGCTGAGAACGGCGTTTTTGGGATGTTCTTGGGGACCTCTCAACACTGGCTCGTACGCAGCAATATTCTCGACCGATCGCCTTAGTCGACTTTTATATGGCCTCTACGGATCAGAAAGAGCCTTACCAGTCGAAAATTTTTCGTATAAACGTATAAATGGTGTTCTTAGAAGGCGCACTTCTCACATTTTTTAACGTCGAGTTTTCACAATTGACTTCTTCTGTTGAATGTAAATTTCAACTATTTCAGAGCGCTCGGGTGGCGTGTATTGGTTCATGGTAAAAATCTACTTGGACTGACGCTTCAAACGCGGTATGTCATTAAGCGATGTGACATCTCTGTCAAAAGTTATGGCGTTGCCAGATGGGTCCGTCGAATATGGGCAACCCTGTATTTAATAGTTTTCGTACAGTTAAACCACGCATTTCCAAAATCAACTCCATATCTCAATCCCAAATACAAACAGATACATCCATATCAAATTTCGGGAATCCAGCTCTATACCTTCAACCAATAATAGTACTCATTCGTACTTTTCGTACAGTAAAAGTACACAATTCCAAAACCACTTTCATATCTTAGACACAAACTCCAACAAACATATCCATATAAAATTTCAGGATTTCAAGTCTATTCCTTCACCCAAAACCAAAAATAGTACTATTTAGTACATTTCGTACAGCTATAGTACGCTTTTTCGAACCCATCCCCAAATCTCAACCTCAGTAATTTGAATATGTAATTTCAAAATTGTATCTTTATCCCTTCACCCTATTTCAAATATGGTACAATTCAGTACTTTTCCTACAATTATAGTACACTTTTCCGAAACCACGTCCCATTGTTCAGGCTTGACATGAACAACGACGCTAATACTAAATTTCAGATTTCAAGCGCTATCTGTTCGCCCAATATCAAATTGTACCGAATATAGCACTATTTTGTACACATTTGGAAAATCACATCTTTATCATAAACCTACAACCAACAGGGACCCCAAAATAAAATTTCCAAACTCCAGATTCATCTGTTCACCCTAAACCAAACTGTTGCAAATTTAGTACCATTTAGTACAGTTCGCACACTTAGTGCACATTTTCGAAACCAATTTCATATGTCAAACCTTCTTCCAACCTAGACTATAATTCCAAATTTCAAGTTTTTAGCTATATTCGTTCACATAATACCAAACGGTACAATTTTAAAAGTTTAGTGCCATTTTAGAACCTTTTTGTACATCTATCCTGCACTCTATCAGTGACTCTCATTCCAAATTTCAGAATTCTAACTCATTCCGTTTGTAATACAAAGTATACAATTTTTTTTGTACATTTTAGTACTTTTCATACCATTTTAGAACGAATTATTTCAAGATTCTAGTTTCGTCGTTGATTTTCGGCCAGCTAGTCAGTTATTTCACTACTCTTATTTATACATAGATTTTGGCGCATACCGAAGATAAAGCCATAGCCCTATATATATATGTTTCATACGATTATAACCTTGCTATAGAGTGCATGATATCACTTCAAGAAGGATTATATTAAAAAAAATATATATATCGGAGGCGAGTTCCCCAAATGGAAACGTACGCTCCGAAATTCACACCATTTAGCAAAGGTATTTCCCAGCTCTATAAGATATATGGTACCGAATATCATTCTTGTGGAGTACTTATTGCGAAAGTGAGGGATTTAAATATTTGGTGTACTTGCTTCTAGACTGGATTCGGTAGGATGTGCCAAACTTCAAGTCATTTGAAGTGATACATGTTAGCAGCTACTCGCATCAAATATTCGTCCATATTGGACACCTGTGTAAAGTAAATCCTAGAAAATATGATCGTTATTGAATGATATCAGATATAGCTCAGAAATAAGTCCCTAAAATTTTGTCAAGATCGGTTCAGATTTCGGTCCTTCACATGCGTAATATGTACTCTACAACAAGGACATTTATACCGGACATCAGATGCAGCTCGAAAATACTTCTGCTAAATATTATCGAGATCGATTCAAATTTTTATATACCTTCCATATACACTTCATCCTATTTTACAGTTATTGACCACCATATATTTAATATCAGCCTAAATCGGATAACTTTTTTCATATTCAACCGAATTTTTCTATTTGATGATATTTTTTTATATAATTCTTATCGAAGTCATATTATACACTATATTTGTTGAAAATCAATTTTGAGTTGGATATAGTTCCCAAATTGTAACTACCCTAAGTCCATGATACACATTGAAATAAGGTTCATAGTTAGTATGATCCAATTCACATAAATTCCCAACATAAACTTTTTTATTATGGTAGTAGCTGTACGTAAGGTCCCTTCAAAGTGGATATTTTAAATTCTACCATACCGAAATTAGTACTATTTTAGTTGTTTTTCAAAAAAAAAACACTTTCTCCATTCGAAAGCGCCTTGTAGAACCCATTTGTAACCTTTTCTGATAATAATAATTATTTTAATTAGCGCTGCATTACAAACGAAATGACAAACCGAGTAGAATCTCCAGCGGCTATCGAAGATTAAAAAAATTACTTTGTGAAAAAATGGACACGCAAACACATGTTGAACTTGAGTCGTGTATTTGAGACAGCAATTTTTGACAAATTACATTAATAAAATCACCTTATTGTTGTTGTTGGTGGTGGTGTTGCTGACTTGATGAATGTCTGTCTGTCTGCCAGCCTGCCTGTCTGTCTGCTAAAGCACAGTGTAAGGTTTGTTTACGAAATAAAATTGTTTTCATTCGCATTGCATGTCGTGAATATTTAACACATTTCGCGTCGTTAAAATAACAATATTTAACGGGTGGTAAAAGCATTTAAAATGTATTTCTTCATTCAATATTTCTTCGATTCAATATTGTCTCCACAAGCTGGTTACATTCATTAAGATATGGATGTAGAGGCAATCTTAGTGGGTAAAGAACGAAGTGTATTCTTTCTAGGAAAAATTAGGGAATTATTAAATTTATTTGAGGTCATAATGCAAGATTGGTATATAATATTGGTATATAATACTCCTATAGAGCTTAAGCGTAAAAAAATTTTATACAGTTAAAATTCATTTTATCAAGCCAATTATTTAGAAACCTATAAAATTTGCAAAAATTTATGTCATATCTTTATCAAATTGTTGCAATGCTGAATACGCCAAATTTAAAATTTTAATACTTTTTGCATATTTCAAATATTCTTAAAATTCGACTGATACAATTAGATTGTTTCAAAAATTTACATAGAACCATGTTTGATGGGTTTTAACGGTATTTTTTTTATTGAGTTTTTGTATTTTTAAAAATACATTGCCTTAACAACGGTACATGCATATTATAAGGGCGTTTTGGAGAGAATAGCACAAGTCGATTTGCAAATATCTTATGATATTAATGGTATTAAGCGACAATAGTATAAAATTGCATAAAACAAACACACACTGACATAATTAAACTAATAGGGAAAGGACAAAGTCGAACAAGGCCGACTATATGATATCATCCACCAATATGCTTATTTAGCAATTTTATCCGTAACAAATATACAGGGTGAGATGAAAAATCTGCAACTGTCTTCAGACTGCTGTCATTTTTAAGTCACTCGTCCGACAGCTATTAAAATTGTTCCAGTTGCAGCTCATTATATTGTTTACAAGCGTACAAAAGCATTTTGGTGAGAATTTTCCAGAAAAATGTTATTCGTGATGGAATTCTTTATATTTGCCTGGAAAAACCCAAGTAGACATCGTTAGAGCACTCCAGCATTTAAATGTGAATAAGTCTTTTGTGTCTCGTACCATCGCTCATTACCGTGATACTGGTATCGTAGCCCGACGTTAAGGAAGTGGACGGAAGAAAACAGCAACATCAGCAGAAATGGTTCGGAAAGTAGAGAAGCGACTTGATCGAAACCCGCGTCGCAGTAGCCGAAAAATGTCTCGTGAGCTGAACATATCGCAATATTCCATTCGGCAGATATTGAAAAATGGGGGTAAATCCATTGAAAAGTGCAAGAACTTACACCGCAGCAGCAAGAAAATAGATTGAAAAGAGCTAAAGAGTTGTATCGCTTGGCCAAAAGTGGTGAACTGCCGAATTTGTCCAACAGTTTGTAAACAAACAAAATGATCGTGTTTACTTACCAAAGAGGTCAGCTGAAAATGTGCACCTTCGGTTGGCCACCAGAACTCAAGCGCTGGCCATGGTGATGGTGTGGGCCGCTATAACAGTCGATGGTCGCTCTCCGCTCGTATTAATCGACAGTGGCATCAAAATAAATGCCGAATATTATCGAGAAAATATTCTGGTGGGTGTATTAAAGTCGTGGGCACGCAAAAATTGTGGCCGTAGACCTTAGACATTCCAACAGGACTCAGCACCATCGCACCACTCAGCACGCGCCACCCAAGAATGGTTATAAAATGAGGTTCCTCGCTTCATTTCCAGCGCACAATGGCCACCGAAATCTTCGGATACCAATCCGTTGGACTATTGTGTCTGAAGTAATTTGGAAATCAAGGTTGGCACTAAAAAATACCAAAGTGTCGATCACCTCAAGCAAGCTCTTCGCTGGGAATTGACCAAAATACCGCAGAGCAACATTCGTGCCAAAGGTGACCAATTCGAATAAATCTAAACTTATTCTAGAATTTGATGCTATTTCCGACATTTTTTGCTTTCATTCAATGAAATTAAAAAAAAAAAAATGTAAAAATTATGGCATTTGACTTTGTTCCAGTTTTTTTTTATCTCACCCTGTATATTTCAGAATATTCGAACATTGACTGAGGGTATATGTACATTTGTCGGCAAAACCTGAACTGATACTTTTTAACTTGTTTATAACTCATCGTGATGCCTATCTTTGAAATCAGATCGATTAGTTGTATAGAAACATTTTTGTCATACTTTCCCATACATGTTGGACCATTGTACAGTGTGGCGTTAAGTAGGGTGATTTTCTGGCCACTCAATCTTGTACTTTGTTGTAATTGTTTAATCGACTTTAAATGGCCAAAAATTAACAGCTTATTTCGTCCGATTGGTAATAAGTGTTTTTTGTTGGATGCATTCTATATGTGATGAAAAAAAGTACTGCAAAAACCAATTAATCTTTCTTATCTTGACAAAGAACCAACAATATTTTGAGTTTATTGAACCCATGGCACAGTAAGAAGGCAAAAGAGTTCCTTAAAAATTAAGAGATGCAGGCTTTGTCCGCTTTTCGGTGAGAATTATTTTAAGTTATATGCAACAAGTTGTTTCCCTTTTTCTTTATTGTTTTTATTAACCACAAATCGTAACAAATTAACAAAACCTCTGGATTCCCTTCAGAAACTTTTTAATAATCCAAATCTATTACCTGTGCTGTTAAAACTTACCAAAATTGTATATGTCTTTGTGTTTTTTTTTTTTTTTTTTTTTTTCAAAAATTTTGTATTCAATTTTAAATTTACTTGTTGCGACGTGAAGAAGATTGTGTTTTTGGAAATAATTAAGTTGTTATCGGTGTCGACATATTTGGAAAACTTGAAGACATGTCACCTCCTTACAACAAATTACCAGTATAAAATAATAGCGATCATTGACATGGAGAACTGAATTAAATGTTTTTATTAAGAATTTTTTTATTAACTGATAATCATTCATTGACATGCGAAAAGCGGGCCCGAACCTTCGATATGACTACTTTTCTCTCAATTTTGTATATCTTACATGGAAAGTTTATTTTTTGCTTGTTAGGACTCAACTCACCGGCATTGCTTTCAAAATGTGTACGTCCCTGTAGCCATTTAGTACGTCCCTGCAGCCATTTAGTACTTTCTAATTACTATACCATGGTTCCAGCTAAAATTCCCAACCGAATTTGCTGCAATATTATATTTAAGATTTTGCGTGGCCTGGATATAACCTAGCACAATATTCGACCGAAGTATACCGGCCTTATAAAACATTTTTATATCATTTGATACTGCCAAAGTGTGAGAACCCATGCCTCCTTTGGCGACATCTGTGCCTTTGTGCACACATTAGCCACGGAGGGAATATTGTAAAAACTAAAAAAAGTAAAAAAACAGATAAGTTCGTCGGGGCCGAACGTTTGACGAAACTTGAAACATTTCCAAAAAAAAATCTAAAAATGCCGCTGAAAGGAAAACCGTTATATGGGAGCTTTACGAACTTTAAATACGAAATTTGAAAAAATTCCGATAAAAAATATCGCTAAAATCATCTAAATAGCGAATATCGGGGTATACAGTTTTATGGGAGCTATACGATATCGTAAACCTATATAGACAATTCTCTTCCAGGGGATAAAGTACTAAGGATAATTCCATTGAAATATTTTGCTATCATCATCAAAATACAGAATATCGGAAGGTACAGTTATCTGGGTAATACTCACAAAAACCTCATTGAGCAGAATTTCAGATAATTCCATTGAAAAATGTGGCCAAAATCTTAAAATATCGAATATCGGAAGGTGCAGTTATATGGGGGATATACGATATTGCGGACCGATGTAGCCCATCCGCCTGCAGACAAAAGAATGATATGTGCAAAATTTTAGATTCATATCTTTATTCGTTTTGACTCTAGCGTGATTACAACAGACTAGCAGACTGACAGGGCTAAATCGTCTTAAAATGTTACGCTGATAAAAAATATAGATACTTTGTAAAGTCTAGAATTATTTTTTCCATGAGTTACAAACGGAATGACGATTTTATATACCCTACGTACTATGGAAAAGAAAAAGTAAAGAAACAATAAGTTCGGCTGAGCCGAATTTCGAATACCCTTCACCAGTTGAAACGAATTTGGAGATTCTCAAAAAAAATACAATCCTTTAATAATTCTGTTAAAATATTCAAAATACCGAATATTGTGATTATATTGAGGTCTATACGAAGTCGTGGACCTGCAAAGGCAACTTTTATCATAAGCCCTTATAATATTCATACGAAACTTGAAAATAATTCGGTGAATATTGTAGTTAAAATCATTAAAATACCGAATATAGGGAGGTACCGTTATATCGGGGCTATACTGTAATGTAAGTTTATTTTATTAGCAATATCAACATTTAATGAATTCCAGATGACGAGGATAACTATATTCTAATTGCTAGGACAAAGATTTTAATTCTCTTTTGCTTTGTTTATGAAGGACTGCGGGAGCCATTGTTAGCTAACTTCAGCCGGGTGGGGGGTTCGGGTCCACATATAACAAAACTACATGTCTACAGAAAATTATTATAGACTCCCTTTTGAATGTTGCTGACAGGAAAATAAACACTAATGAAAAAACTGATACCCCACAATTGAAATAACTATTGTTGGTACATAAATATTCAAAATTCCCCATTAAAGAATATATCAGGTGATGTGCGATATTGGCCTCTTTACCCTCCCTAACCATAGTCCTGATAGGCGGAATTTATTCCAGGACCCCATCTTTCAATACCCTAGTTTTGCCTTACCACTTCATGAAAACACTTTAGAGTTCTTAGTAATTCATTTTAATACACACCGATAATTTCAATTCAAGGCAAAAACATACTTATATATCTATGTACGAATAAATTGCAATAGTTGGATTAATGCATAAAAATGTAAAATACTTTAGAAAAACATATTAGGTAAATAAAATTAGATACAAATTAAAGAATTAGACATAGCTTATTTTGAAATAATATTAAGAGACACCCTAATGTATTAATAAGGTAATAAATAAATATGAATGGAAGAACAAAAACACAAAAGCAAAAAAAAGAAATTGATTCAAATTATAATTACTTGTAAAATGTAAATATGCAAATATCAAAGTCACTCTCAATTGATATGAGTACTCACCAAACTGGTTTTACGTTGAACTTGTTGGAGGCCTCGAAGAAGTTCGTCGTTTTTGTTGTGATCGCTATT